GACGCATTTACAGGGTGGCCAGAAGCCATACCTGCAAGAAGAGAAGACAGTAAAACAGTGGTGAAGTTTCTGATTAACCATTATATCCCCAGACACGGTTTCCCAGAAAAAATCAGATCAGACAATGGCACACATTTTAAAAACACAGATCTGCAGGCTGTGGAAAAAATGTTAGGCCTAAAACATGCTTTTGGAACCGTGTACCATCCCCAGTCTCAAGGGAAGGTCGAAAGGATGAACCAGAATATAAAACAAAAATTGGGCAAAATCTGTGCACAGACTAAATTGAACTGGGTGGAAGCATTACCAATAGTATTAATGACCGTGAGATCTTCTGTTAATAATGGAACTGGCTTTTCTCCCTATGAGTTAACTACAGGTAGACCCTTTCCTGGACCAACCGTATGCTCACTGACCAGTGAGAGGGACCGTAAGATGGACCATAAGGTATACTTTGATGAGTTAAAAGCATTAGTGTCTAACTTTACTCAGCAGGTCCACCACAAACAGAGCCTGACAGAAAGACCAGAGGAACCTGGTCTCCCCACCGCGGAGTGGGTCTTGCTGAGGGTCATTAAAAGGAAGTGGCAGGAGCCCAGGTGGACGGGCCCCTATCAGGTGACAGAGAGAACGTCCCACGCATACATATATTGATGCCATAGGAATCCCTCGGGGAGTTCCTGATGAGCACAAATTAGTAGATCAGATTGCGACAGGTTTTGAAAATTTACCTGTTGTTTCAGCATATTTCCCAATTACACCAAATAAAAATGTTGACCGAATAAATTACATACATTACAATGTCATGCGTCTGTCCAACCTTACCAGAGACGCTGTTGAGGGCTTAGCGGAGCAACTAGCTCCAACTTCTCTGATGGCTGTGCAGAACAGAATGGCTCTTGATATGCTGTTAGCAGAGAAAGGAGGTGTGTGTAGCATGTTTGGTGACCTGTGTTGTAGTTTCATTCCTAATAACACTGCCCCTGATGGAAAAGTGACCCGTGCACTTGAAGGTTTGAGAACGTTGTCTGATGAGATGAAATCTCACTCTGGTGTAGATAATCCTCTTGATGAATGGCTCTTCAAAGTGTTTGGCCCCTGGAAGCAGATGATTGTGTCCATGTTGATGTCAATTGCAGTATTTGCAGCTATTTTAATCACATGTGGATGTTGTTGTATTCCCTGCCTGAGATCCCTGTCAGTACGTCTTATCACTTCCACTTTAGAGAAGCGGGACCCTGAAATAGCTCGTCAGCTCCTAATGCGCAGAGGTTATGAACTTTCTGATTTTGAGATGCAACCACGCCGGCGCAGAGAAGCATATTCTTCCGCTTGATGTCGACCTCTTTATATGAGGTCGAAAGGGGGAATTGTTGTGAAATAATATTGTGTTCTTTGTTGAATCTGTGATTCCCACTTCTTGTTTTACTTTGAAATTGACCCACTTCCTGTTTTACTTTGAAGAGGCTCCCACAGATTGAAGTCTGTTCCTGTTTACATAATGTAACACGATGTCTCACATTTCTGATTCGTTTGAAACTGGCCAATCCCATGACAGCAGACTCAGAACGCGCGGTGAAAAGTTAGTTTTGCTGTGTGAAGGAACGCACTGTTTTTAGACAAAGGGAGTGCAGGTTTCTGCTCGAAGAAAAGAGACGAAGCAGACAGCCAGATGAAGCAGAGAGACGGTCTTCTTCAGAATCCTCCTTAATAAGGTTGTATTGTATAGTTTAGAATGGATGCATCCATTTAACAATATGTTAAAATAATGACTGCATTTAACTAATCCACTGTTTATGCTTGTGAATCTGTAACTTTTTGACTTTATGACTTCTGACTTTCTTTGCTTATTAAATATTCGTAAACTTGAAGGTGCGTTTGTCGTATTCTGAGTGCGTGTCTTGATTCCTCCTGCAGGGGAACGGTAACAGCAGAGCTCGGGTGGAGAAATAAGATAAAAACACAACACTGCTAATGAACTTGATGACTATGGATGGTTTGGCTTTATCTGATTTGTTGGGCAGTGTGTGACAGATTGAAATGTCCTCATGTTCGATGTCAATGTCTTTTTTTTGTAAAAAATTCACTACTTGCTCCTCCAGAGTCTGTAGGTCTTCCTGTGGTGCATCTTCTGTAGTGTTAGTACCAGCAACAACTCTTGCATAAGTTTGGTTCCTAACTTCCAGTCCAGTGATCACCAAGTTGTCTAGTCTTGTGTATTGTTCCATGTCGTCTACTTTCTGTTCTAGTTCAGCTATTTTTCTGTCTTTATTAGTCATCAGTTCTTTCAATTGTCTCACTTCTTCATACAGTCCTGTCAGTAATTCACATTTAGCAGATACCCTAGTCAGTTCAGCACTCATAAAGTTCAAAGATTTTTTAACTTCCTCCATATCTTCTGAATTATTTTCCGACATTTGTCTCTTATCTATGTATTTGCTTGGCATTACTCACAATACTTCTGGATTATTGGTCTCAACTCTCAGAAGCACAGGATCCAGCCACGAGGTTCACAGGCTTATGTTGTTAGCTTATGATATTAGCTTATGTTGTTAGCCGAGGCCTAGCGAGGTCTAGCCGAGGCCTAGCGGTAACAACCTCCAGGTCCCACGTGGTCTCACGATTCACTCGGTCCAGAAGTTTGCAGCCCCAACAGTGACAGACCAGGTCCCGGTTGCAACAGCTCCCAGATACCACAGCTGTAGTTTAGCTTCCTCGGTTTCAGCGGCTCGCAGGTCCAATCGTCCACGGACCGGGTCTCCGCCGTAAACAGCTCGGTTTCAGCGGCTCCCAGGTCCAACAGCGGCAGACCACGGATATATATATGAGATAATTAAATTATAATGTCTGTATGTGTATATACATGGTGGTAATATGTGGTTATATATAAAATATATATAACTGTATGTGTATATATATATATATATATGTATATATATGTATATTTATATATATGTATATATACATATATATATATGTATATATATGTATATTTATATATATGTATATATATATATATATATACATTATATATAAATATATATATATATATATGTATATATATATATGTATATTCATGACTTATCTTAAGTCCAGCCCACTCAGAGAAAAAAACTGATGATTATTGGATGACTCTTCCAGCTTGGCACTGTGTAAGATTTCAGACTGAAACCATACTCGCTAAATGTTGATTACCACATATGACATGTTGAAAAGCCTAAATTAAGTCCTTTACATCCGTGACAAAACAGGAAGTGACAAAAACTCACGTCTGGAAGGTCAGACTTTAGCCAAACTTGTAAGGCTTGAAGCCAGACTCATACTGATATGGGCGGGAGGTGATTGCAAAGTTTCGGCATATGCGCACCCTGGTGGACGTGTGCGAGAATGGCATGAGAGCTTTTGCGACGGCGACTGGGAGGCGTTGCTGAAGCTCCCGCAGTCGCTGGTGGAGTCGAAGGTTCGGCGAATGCTCACCCTGGTGAACGGGCACGGGACGGGCGCAAGAGCATTCGCAATGGCGACTGGGCGGAGTCGCTCGAGCTCCCACGGTCGCCGTAAGGCCAGAGTGGCGCTTTGCTGCGAGGGCCTTCAATGCTGCTTGCAGCTTTAATTCTTTGTTGAAATCAGGTCTCTCTTGTAATTGAGTCCTCGAGGCTCCATATGATTTACCTGTCTAAATAAAGGTTGAATGAATGAAAAAGTCTGAGGGAACACCAAACAAAACGGATTCTCCCCCAACAGCTTACTGCAAAGTGGAAAAAAACTGTTATGTTGGTGCTAAGATGGTGCCTGGGGCACACCCTCTCATCCGGTGCCTGCCTTCTCCCTTGTTGACAGTCATATCAAAATGGTTCAAAAACACCCAAGTCCACGCTCAATAATCCAGGTATACAATCCAACACTGTTCAGTCAGGTCTGGACAAACTAACTTAAGTATTTTTCAATTGCCAGACTGACAGATTTCTCCCCTAAAATGAATATTTCACTCAAAGATATATTTACAGGATTTCAGCTCATGTAGCCATTAATACTATTTATTTTTAGATTTCATCATTTATTAAATTACATTCATCACAGTACAGTTACCTCAGTATGATTTTAAATTTAATCAAGTTTAGCTCATCCAAACAAACACATCTTGTTGTTAAAACATCATGCAGAATTTATTTGCATTTAATTTAGCAGATATTTATGATCCAAACACCTGAAACTGACTCTCACGGAGAGAAACAGAAACACATCTTTGTTATAATCTGGGGCATAAATATTTCTCTTGTAGTGTTAATAATGTTCAATATGTAGACATTTAGTAATGTATTACATGTCATCACCTTTGGTTAGGTTAGCAGCCTGTCCTCCTTGGAAAACAGTCCAGGAATCACTGATTGGTGCTCTCACCTGCAGTCTGTCTCTAAGTTAGGAACACTGCGAACATCCACCGTGAACCAGACAGCAGGCCCCGCCCTGCTCTGCTCTGATTGGGTCAAACTGTGGCTCTGGTTCTCTTTATTGGTTGAAAGCAGCATCAAGTTATCGCCACTATCATCATTAGACACGTTTTTTTCCCTTTCATATTCACACACACACACACACACACACACACACACACACACACACACACACACACACACACACACACACACACACACACACACACACACACACACACACACACACACACACACAGAGAGGTTTGTTCTGCTATCTTTATAGGGCCTTTGCACTGACTTCCATTCATTTTTCATTCATTTCTATAGCCTAACCATGACCTTTATCCTTAACCTAACCATTACCAGTACATACCTAACCCTAAACCTAACACATCCTCAATTCACACCTTAGTCCTAAACCTAGCCCCTAACCCACCAACGGGACTTCTTCTTATGGGGCCCGGGCTTTGGGCCCCATAAGGAGCAGTTGGTCCTCACAATGCAGTATAAGTTGGAAAAATGGGCCTCACAAAGTAGCATAAACAAGGACACACACACACACACACACACATATATACAGTATAATGAAGACTACTGTTGGTTGATGCTGATGTTTGCAAAGTCACTCACATATTCAGAGAAAGGTTTTCCTCAGGTAAACTGAAAGTTTTCTTTGTATCTCCTCTTTTATAAAAAAAACCAGTTGTAAATTAAAGAGAACTTGACTCTTGGGCCTTAAAAAGAAACAGAAAACACTATGACTTCCTCCAAACATAAAATAAAAACATCAGCCGGTCACAGCCGCTGTTGTCAAAGCGTCCAGGCCCAGTCTGTCTGTTAAACATGTTACCATAGCAACACTATCACCCGAGCAGCAAGCCCTTGCTCAGGTGTGTTCCTGGTAATTTGCGTTGCATCAGAAGGTCTCGTTATTAAGTTCACATAAACGTTGTATTGTTGTTGCTGTTGTGTTGTGTGGACGTTGTGTAGTTGTGTGTCAGCGCTCTCAGGATGTGGTTCTCTCTCTCCAGCTGCTGGTTCTTCTCCTGCAGGTCCCTGATCTGTTCCCTGAGAAGCTCCACCTCCTCACGAACCGCCAGCATCAGGTGACTCTTCACCAGGTCCTGTGGAGGGAGAGACAGGCGGAGAAGTCGGGTGAAAACAGATGGAAACAAGTGAGGACAAGTGGGAACAGATGGAAACAGGTGAGGACAGGTGGGATCAGGTGGAAACAGGTGGAAACAGAAGAGTACAGATGGAAAAAGGTGAAAACAGAAGGAAAGATATGGAAACAGTTGAGGACAGGTGGGAACAGGTGAGGACAGGTGGGATAAGGTGGAAATAGGAGGAAACAGAAGAGGACAGGTGAAAACAGGTGAAAACGGATGGAAACAGCTGGAAAGAAGTTGAAACAGGTGAGGACAAATGGAAACAGGTGGAAAGAAGTCGAAACAGGTGAAAACAGGTGAGGACAAGTGAGGACAGGTGAAACAAGTGGAAACAAGTGAAACCAAGCGATGACGGGTGGAAACAGGTGAAAACAGGTGAAAACAGGCAGGGACAAGTGAGAACAGGAAAACCAGGAAACAGGTGAAAACAGGTGAGGACAAGTGAGGACAGGTGGAAAAAAGTGGAAACAAGTGAGGACAGGTGAAAACAGATGAGGACAGGTGGAAACAGGTGAAAATAAGTGAGGACGGTGGAAACAGGTGGAAAAAAGTGAGGACAGGTGGAAACAGTTGAAAACAAGTTAAATAAGTTGAGGACAGGTGGAAACAGGTGGAAACAACTGAGGACAGGTTGAAACAGGTGAAAAGAGGTAAGGACAAGTGAGGACAGGAAGTCAGGAAACAGTGGAAACCAGTGGAAACAGGTGAGGACAAGTGCAAACAAGTGAAAACAGGTGGAATCAGTTGGAAACAAGTCAGGACAGGTGGAAACACGTGGAGACAGGTGAGGACAGGTGGAAATAGGTGGAACCAAGTGAGGACAGGTGGAAACAGATGAGGACATGTGG